TGGAGCCACGGTTTTGGTGTGCAGGAATCCTGGCAGTTCCTGGGTCTTGAGTCTTCCTTCTCAGTCTGGTGAGGTGTTGTGTTTGGATGCAGCCCAGACTGGAGGTTACCAGAGCCAAGATTAGAAAAAGGAATGACGCTCATAACTTTCTCAGTTTCCCTAAGGAGCACCAGCCACCTACAGGTCCCTACAGCTATTCTGCAAGGTTTGGGTCACATACTTAATCCTTGTTCAAGGAGTGAAGGAAAATGAGAGGAGAGCTGAAGATGAAATTACAGAGTTCTCCATGATGTTCCAGTTTATTTTAAAGAGTATTAAAAATCAAGACACACCATTCTATTTCTCCATTCCTTCCTTCTCACTTCAAGCCTGAGTATTTAATGTGAGCTAGAGCGGAAAGGTGCTGGAATCATACTTTGTGTTATCTTGTCACCTCCTTGGGTAGTTAGAAGGAGTTTTTTCTTTTAGTCTCTGCTGTTGTTGTAGATGTTTCTTTTCTTCAAACTAACCATGTTGAGCAGTACCAGGGGATTTTTTTTTTTTTTTTGAGTAGCTCCTCCCCAAACGTTTCAAAATCAAGCAAAAGTAATCACAACCTTTCCCTTCTCTTGAAACCATAACATTTTTTTGACAAGAAGTGCCTTTAAAGAAATGCCTCTTAATTTACGATGGGTTGCTTTGTACTTTGTTTCTGTAACCTATCGCATTACATTTCCTGTGCGTTGAGTATGTATGTGTTATGAACTCTTAAAAACAAATATCCCAGAAGAAAGGAATTCAGTAAATGAATAAAACATTCTTGGGTAGCTCAAGTGGCAGTTTAATAGCTCATCCATTGGGACTTTCAAATAATATAATGACGATGGCCCTATAAATATATGGATAGATGAATAACTTAAATGAAGAGCTTGTTACAACTCTGCATACCACATCTGAAATGAAATCAAACTCTAAAAGTGGTGCCTGATGTGAAGGGCCGATTTTTCCAGTGCCAATCTTGAAATTATACCTAAAAATACACAACTGTCTGTTTGTGTATACGTATGTATATATAACTAAAACATGCATTCACAAACACATACACACACATATACATATGTTGTTTCTAGATGGAATGTAGTGTTTCAGGACTGATAACTGATTGCACTGAAGTACTAGAACTTTGTGGACTATTGACATGACTGGATTTACAGCAGTGTATTTACGATTAAGTCTTAGCCTTGGCTTTCTCTGAAAGTAAATAGATAAATTGAATGGGAGCATAAGGCTGTCATGTTATATTGCCTGGGATATACACAACTTTTTCATTAGGTTCACCTAATCACATAGCTTTGTAAATATCTCCTTTGATGCCTGTTTGCCATGACAGAGTCTGTAACCTCGGGTGTGGGTAACCTGAAGGTAAAGTTTTAAATCATTTTTGCTCGTAGCAATGAATTTCTCAGGAAAATTGTTTTCTGATTATGGTGGACATGGAAACCTGATGTTGATGGCCATGAATGATGGAGGGAAACCAACTCAGGCTGAACTATGGTACGGATAGAAGAAACTAGACCGCCAAATGAGACGTAGCCAGGCTAATATGATTCATTTTGTTACTCCAGAGAGACTTGTTTCTGCAAAGCTACTGAGCTGCAGTGAAATAAGGTCTGGGTGCTCATATGAAACATAACATCAGTCTCCATCGTAAGCCAGCAAAAATTCACTTTCTCTTAGCAATGGGGAGAAGCTCGTGTTGCAGCATAGACAGAGGATGCTGAAGTGCTCTCGGCGAAAGTCAGCAATACAGTAATTTATCTGTTGAGCATTCGAATAATGCCACATCACAGAAGAGGCACAGCCCTTTATTTTGTTATGAGTTGGGTCTTATTAGAGTTTCTCATTCCCCTTGGCTGGATTTCCTCAGTAGCGTACCTTATATTGGTTGTTATTTCTCCTTGAGAGCATAGTTTCCCACACTAGCTGAAGAAGCAGGTTTTAGTGGCAGTACTCAATGTGATCACATAAAGCCCCATGAAAATAAGGGACTTTGATATTTTCACACTGGTGGATTAAGCTGATGAATGTTTGCTGTGCTGAAAAAATAAGGTGCCACTGCTGTGATCTTTTAGCTTGAGTGAAATGGCAACAACAATAAAAAAATCTTTCCTGGCTGAAGTAGAAAAATTTCATCCTGTGTCTTCTGGGGATCAACCTGAGCATGGGGAGACCTGGTCCCTCACATACGCAAAGCATATTGGAGAATTTTGCATATTTGATATGTAAACTGTATAGAATGAGATGTTAATCATAGGACTTGCATATGTGCACAACAATTGAGTGGGCATATTTAGAAAAGGGACTGCCACATGTAGTTCTGTGGGGATTTGCCTTTTACTGGGAAATGCAGGTCCAGGAGGTGATACAATCTTACATTTTTATTTTCATTTTGAAGAGTTTCCCTTTGTTGTAGAATACAAAAGAAAATAAGAAGGAAACAAAGCTGGGGAAGAATTGCATGTGAAAATAAGTGTATTGAAAGATGAGTGCCTTGACAAACACTTGCGAGAATTGATCAAATTGATTAATGTGTTAAGCAGTGGGATATAGACTGTGGGATCAGAAAGTTAAGTGTTTTGTGTGAACATTATAACATCAGTGCAATAAATTGATTGTCGTTAGTTCTTGAAACTGTAATAGTCATTCAGTTATATTGGAAGTGATAACTACCATGAACATATTCCAAAACTTGCATGCAATTTATAAATCTCCTAGGGGATGTTGAAATCATGTTGGAAATTTAAATTAACCCCTGTCATTATCGACAACTTTTCGTATCCTTTTCCACTCAGTATTTTAGCTCGGAGAAAACTACGTTTTCAAGCAGCTTTTTAATGACAATGAGAACAATGTACAAATGCAGTGGGTCTTTCAATAATTCGCTTTTAAAATTGATTCTTATAATTTTCACAAGTAGCAGCAAACAAAGAAGCTTATTCACACTGTCTCGCTGTAGGCACCTGCCTCGTTTTCTCAGGCTCCTTTCCTCTCCTTTTAGTGGGATGCAGTAAGCAGGACCTGGCTCCCAGCTTCTGCAGCACCCTCCAGCAACCTTCAGCCGGTGTGTTTGCTTACCCTGTCTCCATTTAACCTTCCGATTTAGGTCCCTGAAGTGAGGCACTGGGGCTGTTCTGCAACAGCACTGTATGAAGGAACTCCAAATCTTCCCCAAATGGCTGCATATTAATTGCATTTGAATACTGACGTTTATAATGAGCCTTTTAAAATCAACCGAAAGGCTCTCGCTGCTTTGAGGTGGCTAAAGTGGGACAGACTGGGGTGAGACAGACTGACAGCAATGGAGCTGTGTGCCTTATTGTCAGTGAAATTCTTCATGGGGTTGCCAAAGTGAAATGTGGTGTAGTCTGGAATTCATTCCATCTGAGCAAGAATGCGTTTATGCTCCTGCTGGTTGGGGTGGCCTGTTGGCAGCAGGACAGGCAGTAGATTGGAGAGGGTCTTCACCTTTCTTAGATTGGGATGGCAGTAGTACCCAGCGAAGGGCACGTTTATTGGACATACAGAAAAAAATGTTCATCTGTGGCCGCATTTAAGGTATGTTACCCAGTGTATTTGATGGAAAGTGGTGACCGTAATTACAGATGCATTGTCATACATATACAAGGGTAGAGTTTTAGGTCTTACAGGCTGTCTTAGCTGTGCTGTTTCCTAACCTGAGTCTTCACCTGGGAGTCTTATTGGGCAGTTTTATTTTCTACATCGTGTTTTGCCTGTTCTCACTACCTGGCTATGTGTATGCATATGTATATGTGTATGCAATTGCATTTAATTTGCTATAATTCTTCCTTAATTTTGGTTTTTCTGAAGATATCTGTAATTAAAGTAATGGCTGGGTAGTGACTTTTATGTACTACTACTTCTTGGTGGCTCAAATAGCTGCCCATAACAAATCTGGTAACATTTGATTAACACAGTGCTACATACATAATGAAAATACTGTCTCCTTTCCACACATTGGGACTAAAAATGAGTTTTCCAACATGCTCTGAAAGCAAACAAGTTTAGGCTTAGTTGGAGCTACTGGTAAATAAAACCAGTCATTTCTGTATGTGGTTCATCCACTTATGTAAACTTATTCAAATGTGTGTGTCTGGTTTAAATTTTTTTCACTGTGATTATTATTCTGGACTCTGTGCGTGTGTGTAAAAATGTGTTAGGGTCTCACAGGATTTTTTTATATTACAAAAATGTTTATACATACATCTATATAGTTATGCATATGTGCATCTATGTGCACATGCATACATACTACACATTCACTCGTAAAAATATGATCCAAAACTGGTGCACTTCTGTGGGGGTGTGTGTGTGTGTATAGTGTTCTCACTTTCTGTTTTGTTAAATATATAACGACCAGTTATTACATACATTTTATTTTTAATTAGAAATTTAATAAGTAATTTTGACATAACACTTCACAGTACAGTTTTTATCTCTTGATCAACCATTTCCTGTTTTCTCTCTCTGTCACAGGGTGAAAGAATGATGTGATGGAGGTGAATATGGGCCGCTGGTCAGGCTCACGGCCACCTCCGTCATGCCTTGCCCTTTTGATTGTCAAGCTCCTGGCCTCCATTTGCCAGGTAGTTCACGGGACCACCCTGCTTGGCTTTCACTTTACACATTCCACTTACAATGCTACGGTGTACGAGAATTCAGCAGCCAGGACCTATGTCAACAGTCAAACGAGGATGGGCATTACCTTGGCTGACCTTTCATGGGATATCAAGTACAGGATAGTGTCTGGTGATGATGAGGGCTTTTTTAAAGCAGAAGAAGTCATCATTGCTGACTTTTGCTTCTTAAGAATAAGGACTAAAGGTGGGAATTCTGCTATATTGAACAGAGAAATCCAGGACAACTATTTATTGATGGTGAAAGGGTCTGTCAGAGGAGAGGACTTAGAAGCATGGACAAAAGTGAACATCCAGGTTTTGGATATGAATGACTTAAGACCTTTGTTTTCACCAACTACGTACTCTGTCACGATAGCGGAAAGCACTCCTTTAAGGACTAGCATTGCACAGGTGACCGCAACAGATGCGGATATTGGGTCCAATGGTGAATTTTACTATTACTTCAAAAACAAAGTTGATCTCTTCTCAGTTCATCCTACAAGTGGTGTTATCTCCTTAAGTGGCCGGTTAAACTATGATGAGAAAAACAGATACGATCTTGAGATTTTGGCTGTGGACCGTGGGATGAAACTTTACGGAAACAACGGCGTAAGCAGCACTGCCAAGCTTTATGTTCACATTGAACGTATAAATGAACATGCCCCAACGATAAATGTAGTAACCCATATTCCCTTCCCATCAGACAAGGAGCCTACCTATGCAGTTGTTAACATTGACGACCTAGATGAAGGAGCCAATGGAGAAATAGAATCTGTTTCAATTGTGGCTGGAGATCCTCTAGAACAGTTCTTTCTTACTAAAGAAGGTAAATGGATGAATGAGTACAAAATCAAAGAAAGAAAGCCTATTGATTGGGACAGCTTCCCGTATGGTTATAACCTTACTCTCCAAGCAAAGGACAAAGGATCTCCTCAGAAATTTTCTGCAGTCAAACTGGTCCACATTGCTAGTCCCAAGAAGGAAAGTGTCCCCATGAAGTTTGAAAAGGAAGCATATGATTTTTTGATCAGTGAATTTTCGCCTCCTGGTGTGGTGGTTGCGGTAGTTAAGCTGATGCCTGAGCCACAGGGTGTGGAATATAGAATATCTCCAAGTGAGGAAGCTGAGTATTTTAAGATCAATCCCAACACAGGCCTTATTACTACTGCTCGTCCTTTGAAAATCATTGAGAAGGACCTCTATGAATTAGAAGTATATACGAACAAAGGTGGTGATTTAAAAGCACAGGTTACTGTCAGGTTAGAAGATGCTAATGATCACACTCCGGAGTTCCAGCAGCCCTCCTACAGCTCGTTTGTCAATGAAAGCGTCCCTGTGGGGTCTAGCGTTTTAGCAGTTTCAGCCGTTGATAAAGATAGAGGAGAAAATGGATACATAACATACAGCATTGCCAGTCTGAACTCACTACCATTTACAATAAACCAGTTTACAGGTGTCATCAGCACATCTGAAGAACTGGATTTTGAGTCTTCGCCAGAAAGCTACAGGTTCATTGTGAGAGCTTCTGACTGGGGTTCTCCCTACCGCCATGAAAGTGAGGTGAACGTCACCATATATATAGGCAATGTCAACGATAACAAACCCCTCTTTGAAAAAGTGGCATGTCAGGGAGTGATTTCTTCTGACTTCCCTGTGGGTGGTCACATCACTGCTGTTTCTGCAATAGACATAGATGAGTTAGAGCTTGTGAAGTACAAAATAATCTCTGGAAATGAACTTGGCATTTTTTATTTAAATCCTGACTCTGGTGTCCTGCAACTTAAAAAATCTCTAATTAATTCTGGCATAAAGAACAGCAATTTTGGCCTTAAGATAACGGCAACTGATGGAGAGAACTTTGCTGATACTATGTTTGTTAATATTTCGGTAGTACATGGGAAAGTGTCTTCAAAGACCTTTAGCTGTAGAGAAACCAGAGTTGCTCAGAAGCTAGCAGAAAAATTACTCAAGAAGGCAAAAGCAAATGTGAAACTGAATTTGGAAGATGGTTTTCTTGATTTTTATTCAGTGAACAGGCAAGCACCACATTTTGACAAATCCTTCCCTACTGACGTAAAGGTTTCGGAGGATCTGCCAGTTGGTGCCACCATCCTGAGGATAAAAGCCTATGATGCAGATTCGGGCTTTAATGGAAGAGTACTTTATACAATTTCTGATGGTAATGTAGATAGTTGTTTTGACATTGACATGGAGACGGGGGTACTTAATGTTCTTATGCCCTTGGACCGTGAAAAAACAGAGCTCTATCTCCTTAATATTACGGTTTATGATTTAGGTTATCCACAGAAATCTGCATGGAGACTGTTGACTGTCACTGTGGAGGATGCAAATGATAACAAGCCTGTTTTTTTACAGGACAGTTACTCAGTTAATATTTTGGAAAGTACAAGTCTTGGTACAGAGATTATCCAGGTAGAAGCCAGAGATAAAGACCTAGGATCTAATGGTGAAGTGACTTACTCAGTACTAACAGACACCCAGCAATTTGCTATCAACAGTTCCACGGGAATGGTGTATGTGGCCGATCAACTGGATCGGGAATCAAAAGCAAACTATACACTGAAGATCGAGGCTAGGGACAAAGCAGAGAGTGGCCATCAGCAGTTTTCAGTTGTGCCTCTAAAGGTTTTTTTGGATGATGTCAATGATTGCTCTCCAGCCTTTATACCATCCAGCTACAATGTGAAGGTCCTTGAGGACCTGCCAGTTGGCACTGTCATAGCTTGGTTGGAAACTCACGATCCAGATCTCGGCTTGGGAGGCCAAGTCCGTTACTCGCTGGTGAATGATTACAACGGGCGGTTTGAGATAGACAAAGCGAGTGGCGCCATCCGCTTGAACAAAGAGCTTGATTATGAGAAGCAGCAGTTTTACAACCTGACTGTGCGTGCAAAGGACAAGGGGCGCCCCGTTTCTCTCTCTTCTGTTTCTTTTGTGGAAGTTGAAGTGGTGGATGTTAATGAAAATCTCTATACCCCCTATTTTCCTGACTTTGCTGTCATTGGATCTGTAAAGGAAAACTCCCGCATTGGTACAAGTGTTTTGCAAGTTGTTGCTCGAGATGAGGACTCTGGAAGGGATGGAGAGATCCAGTATTCCATCAGGGATGGTAGTGGCCTGGGGAGATTCAGCATAGATGAAGAAACTGGTGAGTGTGTTACTAATTTCCTTTTCCCTTCATAGAGGTTTTTGCAAAAGCAAAGCCGAGGCATAATTATTTTCTACCCTTAGCAAGAAGTTCAGTTCTTCTTTACAGGCAAGATAAAATTATAAATAAGGGTTTTCTAGGCACAGCAGTGACATGACTTAATTACCTGGTTACATTCATCACTCTGTGGGTGTGAAATAATACACATTCCTTTTCAGCAGCTATGTGATGACTCCATTTAGAAGGCAGGGATAGTTACGGGAATGACTCACTTGCAGTCACTGTATTATCTGTTGATCGTTGCAGATTACTCAGGTCACCTCCACAGAGTCACAACACTTATGACCTTGAATGCAGCGTTAAACCCAATGAAAGGAAATAAGGAGCATGAAACAAGAATTATTTCATCCTAACACCTGTTTGTGGTCTTGTTCTTACTGTTGTTGCAGGTCATTTTTCATGGGAGTTAGCAGTCTGGAATGATAATGTCATTCTGTATAATATGTTTTCTTCTAGTACGGCGTTCATCAGTGTTGGCATGCTTGTGTAAAGGTAGAAATACAGGGAAAGATGCTTAACTGTAAACCAGCTGTGCTAGCTTTCCTTTGGTGGCGATGGTATTACGAACACCGATGTTAGAAAACAGTATTAATAGAGTGAAATTTTTTAAGATGTTGAACTTCACTATCACGACACCATATTGGAAAATGTGGAAAATAAAAAGTATAAAAGGCTGTCTAATAAAACACTTAACAAACTGGCTGTTTAAATGTCTGATAGCTGTTGGGAGTAATGGTGCAGCTGTGGTACTAGAGTAGTGAGGAAATTAGAAAATATTAGTCAACAGTTTCAGAAATTATATTAAATATGTTACGTCTGTGGGTTTACTGTGGTTTAAGCAGACTTTGTATGTCTTTTTCTAAAGCTTTTAATTGAGAATGTGGTATTAAAACATAAGATTAAAATGTATGTTTTGGCAAATTCAAACTGTTTAATCAAATGTCAGCTTTCTAAACTGAACATTATGAAAAACAGACGACATTACAAATGCTGTGGATTGCGTCTGAACATAAGCAGTGAAAAATATTTTTGTTCTATTTGTGCTATAGTCTCTTGGCTGCAGCTGTGCACAGATGATACAGTTAAAACCTTGTGTCCGTAAATGTCAGACTTGAGTGTCAGAATTAAAGAGGGCACCTGCTCTAATTTCCAGAAATATTAAGAACTCACATATCCTACGTTGAAGGCATTCCAGCAACATTATGTGGATAGTTGAACATGAGTTTAATTTTAAGCTCCTGCATTTTAAAATTTTGGCCTATCTTCTTAACGAGTGGCATCAACTTCAGCTAAATGGGTTCTTTATAAAGCAATGGGAGATTGGTCCAAATGTTGCAGTATTGCTCTGGAGATCTCAGGATTCAAAACTTGTTGAACTGAAAGGAATTGTTAGGGAGAGTAAGTTAGTGCATATTGCTCATTAATAAATTAACCAGAGTTTTTACCTTGTGCCTAGACTAGTAGGGGCAATAGCCTATAATAAGTTAGGGCCCCCATTCACTAAAACGCAAATCATGTTTAGACATTGTACTCAATATTCCACATTAAACATACTTGGTTTCTTTCCAGAATTGAAATCTGGTTTGTGGGGGCTAGGAAACCCGCAACCTGCTGAAAGTTGCAAATTCACAAGTATTTTCATGAAGACAAACCAACCTGTGCTGTTTCACTAAACTGCTGTAGAAGACATCTGATAATCCAGCAGATTGAAAGACTTTTGGATTCTTCTGGTTTGCCCAGCTGGTCAATACAAGTTAAGCCTTCTTGAAACCAACTCAGAGAACACTTGGGTGCATAGCTGCAGCCACAGCAATGTGGAGAGCAGGGCTTGGGGGTTCAGGAGTTACTCCGAGTCACGCTTGTTGTAACGTGAGTACAGAATTTGACCTGCTGTGTCAAATAGGACACAACATTAATACTCTGCTATTGAACTGGTGGCAACTTAAATGCTGCTGAATGATGAATCAGCTTTCTAGCTGTAGAAAAGAGCTCAAGTCACATACTGAATTAATTTACAAAGAGATAGCTGTTTATTTACTTTCAGCACAGTTAATTTGTCACTTTTAAACGGACCGACTCTATTGGCTTATGCACTGTCTCTCCTGAAATTTGTGAAGGTAAGCAGGAGCACAAAGTACAACAAATCAATATTTTTGGCTGCTGCCTTAATGAAAAGAAGACTGCAGTATCCATTATAATCATTAGGATGTAAACTGGGCCAAATTCATCCTGATACGTGAGCAGGCTGGACTCCAAGCAAGTCTGTGCTTTCAGCAAAATTCTGCTAGAGTGCATTTTTTTAATTCTTCTTCAATATTCCATCTCAATGGTAGCACCCTGTGTGCTGAGTGAGATATGCCTGTGCTTCCCTGAGGCATGTTGATACTGCAGAGATACCCGAAGAGGAGCTGGCCTACATGGATCCACACCACACCATGCTGCAGCACACTTGTTGACACAGCAGCTTTGTTCTTGTTCATCTACAGGCGTATACAGGTGCATATAGGTGTATCTAACTCTTATCAACCTTGACCTGGCTTTTGGTGTGGGTTCCGCACCAGGCTGTTCTCCATTCAGGTCTGAACAGTGGTTCGTGGTCAGTGAGCTTGGGAGTCTCCTCTGTGTTGGCCAAATGGATCTCTCTGCATAGGATAAATGTGCAAATCCTGGTGCTGTCGCAGTTTGGTAAGACGTGTGCCATGGGGGCGAGCATGGGATTTCCTTCCAACAGTGCAGCTCTTTGCCTTGTGTTGTAGAGAATCATTTTGAGGATTATCGTTGTGATACACCACTCACTGCTAAATACTCTAGTTCATATGTGTTGGTAACCAGAAGCGTAGTGAGTGTTTTACAGCTAGAACTATTTGATGAAGTAAGATTTTTACATGCAGTTGGTCCCACAGTCTTGTGAATCTATTCCAAATTTACTTCAGTGGATTTACTCCCCTTTTCCAGGAAGCAGAGCCGGTACAAATTTGTAAATCAATAAAAACGCCTGAAGTAGAAGGTAGCAGTTCCTGACCTCCTCCAACTCCATCCCTAGTTTCTCACTAGTACCTTAGCCAGCAGACTAAATTTCTTGTGGGTTTACAACTCAACTCATGATTCATAGCTAAAAAACTAGTTTAAGACTTTTCTAGACATTAAAAAAAAAAAAGGAAAAGGAATGGATTTTTAGTAGAGAACCCTTGTTGATTCCTACCTCGATGGAGATTGAGTTTCACTAACACAGGTGTGTGGTTCAAACTCATTGATTTTCTGTCTCCGTTGGCCTATTTATTGACTCTTGGTATAAACGTCATAAGCTTGCCATTTAAGATCCCTGCACAGAGGGACACTTAATGTAATCATACCATTTATAGATTCTCTTTTTCCTTTTGTCTCCCATTCAGAACTGCTTTTTCTTTTTTTTTTTGCATCCCTCTCATTCTCTTGGACTCTATCTATGTGATGAAATATGGTCATCTAGTCAGAACTAGTCACTGCAGGCTTTCCTTATAGTCGACAGAGAAAAATGGGCAATTGAGAAACATGATTCATTTTACCCTAAAGTAAAAATATGAAATAAGTTGGATGAATCATGCTTTAAAAATGTGCAAAGGTCTCTGTATGACTAGCTTAGAGGTAGAGGTCTACACTAAACACCTTGCTTCAGTCAAATGTAACACATGCCTATTAACTGTAAACTAAAAGAAAGGAATATATGCTGTCAGGTTTACATGCTAAGTAATTTATGATGACTCCTCTCTACCGGATTCCTGTTTTTAGCCTAATTTCAGGGAATTGTCTCTTAGTATGAAACCCATGCATAAATACACTTCTAGAAATAAAAAAGTGGAAAGAATGTTAAGAGTGTAGGGGATGAGAGTTATGCAACTAATGTTTTAGGATTTTTAATTTTCTGAGAATACAGTGCTAGACAGAGCATCCGGCCTTCTTTTCTATCTATAGAAAGTCATCAAGATCTGATGCTTTGATCTTACTTGTGGAAGTGGGTGGTAACCTTCCCCTTATGCAACTCAGGGGCTATGGAGATGCTTGAGCCATTTCTTCATCTCTAGTACTGCTTCCCACCTGGTGTGTTCCTCCACATTCCTTGCCAGTCTGCTAATTGCAGTGCCTTAGAAAAGAATTGTGTAAAAAACCCCCTCTATGTTTCCAGATTGTTGTAACACAAAATGGGCAGAGATCTGTTAAATATTTTTATGGGATGACAGTGTGTGCTGAGTTTTCATCATAGGGATAGCTCTAATAGGTATAACTACTCTTCTGGAAATGATCTCTGTCAGAGGTCCTCTACTGCCTTCTTAAAAGCCTGGGTTTTCTCAGCTCCAGCAGATACACCCTCATAGTGCTCATACCACAGCAAAATGGTGTATTTTTGCTGTCTCAGGAGCTGGTGTTGAGTCCAGTAAATGTATGTGGGTTTATGATACCACCTACCTTGGTTGACTAAATACCATCTAGCAGTACCTCTTTTCTGGCTGCAGTGGGGACTTGGGTAACTAGCAAGACTTCCTGACTTTTCGAAAGATTGAGTTAGGTGAAATCAGTCCTATCCTAAATGCTGACGTCTTCCTTCTCATTTTTTAATGATTTGTGGTTTAGCTAGACAACATTTTTGACTCAAGCTCCGCTTTTGAGTCTGGCATGTGTTTCTACTCTGTGCACAGTTGATGTAACAGCCTGGCACCCAATGAGTTTCTATATTTACCCCTACGCTACCCACAGGCGTACTAGCAATAACAAATGAATGAAATGAGTTCTAGAGGAGCAGAGAGACTAGACACACTCAGCATCTTCTACTGCAGAGAATTCTGTAGAGTTGATCAGAGTCAGTGTGGCAGTGCCCCGGGATGCAGGGAATGACTAACTCCATTGCATAGGTGGGAGAACTGAAGCACTAATTTTTTGGCTGATTCTCAGGAAAGGAGTGAAACATCTTCTGAAGTCCCTTTGGAATTGAACACGGAGATAAAATAGTGGTATTAATTAAATGCTTAGTGGATCTTTAGTGTTCTTGCAATGCCCATAAGCATGGGCTTAAACAACGCTTTCAAAGCTTACTAACCTCATTTCCTAGGGTTTTTCAGCAGTCTGAGTCCCCTAATTTTCATTGGGACTTCAAATTTAGGCATTAGCTGGCACTAATTTCCACCCCCGTAGAGGCCCTCTGATAAGCACACAAGATGGAGATGACCCTATTAACTTGTTATCTTTAGGTGCGTTTTCAGCCCCGAAATTCAAATTAATAAGTCAAGCCTGTCTTTTACAGCACTTACATCTTGAAGATACTCTTAAATGGAGCTGAAGTTCAAATTAGTACAGACTCCATAGATTTATTTATGGTGCCAAGGACAGCAGACTGATCTTTATTTTGATACCTTTTATGGTACCTCAAGAGTGATGGAAATCCCTGACAAACTGTGGCTGGAGTCTAAAAAGAAGCCAGTTGGTGTTGGAAAATCCTAATCATGACTTCAAACGGCT